GACAATGAGAAGTACCACAGAAGAACCCATGAGAAAAATGAATAGTTTTTATTTTCAGAGTGCTACTTGGATATTGTGCTGTGAAACAAGAGACTTTTGAAGAATAACATCAAAAGATAAGTAGCTGCTCATCTGGGATATGAAGAAGAGGGAAAAAAAAAAAGTCTGGAAGAAACCTCAGAACCTCATCAGGTCTATGTTCTGTCTAAGGCATGCTTCAGTTACTCCCAACTATTTTTTAAGTTTCTTTCCAGAGATCTCTAAGACACATCCTCCAAACTATCTATTCTGATGCTGCTTCTCCTCACATTAGAGAGTTTTTCCAAAATCTAACAAATCAGCTATGCTGTCATTTAAGCCATTATCCATCTAATTATTCATGTCTACCTTCAGACTTCTGAAAGCCACTCTGGGTTTTTTCCCATATAGTTCTCATGTGTTTTGTTTCCTGGATCCACCATTGTCAAATATATATAAATATAAACCTTTTCATACAGGGTCCATCTTTAAACTAGTAATGAATTTTGTCCCCATCATTCCAATTAAAAAAAAAAAAAAATATCTTTTCCATAAACTGATTGCCATCACTGCATTTTAGCTTACGTATACTTCCTTCCTCTCAGCATTCACATGCTTGATATTTCCACAACCTTTAGCCTGGTGAGCTAAACAAGCCAACCTTTTGAAGTCATCTCTTGTAAGACATCTCCCTCATCACTGCACAGGCCTCACCCTCTGCACTCATCCTACATTCAATCAGTCCACAAGTCACTGCATAGGCAACTACAATTATACAGTGTTCTAGATGATGTCTCAGAAATGCAGAAGATGGCCTTAACAATTTAGCTGCTCTGAAAATATCTTTCCAGATATATCCTAGCTTAACATTTTATTTTTTTATGGCTACATTGCACAATCTCTCATCTTTTCTCATAGATTAGATATTTGCCTACAGAAGAAATTCTTGCCAGTGGTCCTAAATGAACACCATTGCACTTTGTATCACTGAATAAGATCACATTTCTATTTCTTTAATCTAAAAGGTCATCTAATTTGTGAATGACACGGTGATACTTTCATTGATGCCTCACAAATTTGTTCCATCAGAAGATTTCATCAGCATATGTTCACTCTTTTATGTCACCACCACTAATATTTTGAAAGTCAAGCCCATGCCTGCCTTTTGAAAAACATCCCACCATTCTCAATTTCCCTTTTAATTGTCACCTTTTATCAGACAGTTCCTTACTTACTTTGTATCTCCTGTACTAACCCACATTTTATTCTGCTACACTAAGAAATTCCAGTGCGGCATGGCAGAATTGTGAAGTCACTTTCCATGTTGACTTTTTGCACTCTTACAAACCATTTATATTCCATTGATGAAAAGTCAAACAAAAAACCCCTGAAGCTCTACGCATGCAAAGAAAAACTGTTCTAGGATGTGATTTATTTTTTTCCCAACACTATTTAAGTTTCTTAGAATTTGGTCAGATCTGCCTCCAACTTTAAACACATTCACTATAACTTCTCAATGACAGTTAGTGTTGTTTATAAAATTACGATGAAAATACACAGGATATCAGTTTCTTGACTTGTATCTATTGCCTGCCTTGGTTATGGGAATTAAGTTTACTCAAATGCAAGAAAACTTTAAAAGCTTCATATTAAATGAGCTCTACAAAATTAAATCATTTTTAAAAATCAGGAATTTTAGGGTTGATTTTATTCTTACCAATATGGGGCTTTATCTTTTCTCTAACACTGAATTACCTTATTATTTGAAAGTCTACAAAAACTCTACTTCTACTACAAGAACTGACAGGAATAAACGTTGGTTGGGATTTCCCTGCCAAAAGAGATTTTAAAAAGGATGGGGAAGAAGAAATTCAGGCTACTTAATTTGCGATTGACTCAGAAAATAATTCAATAGGGTGGAATGTATCTTAGATCTCCTAACTGGGTCATCTTTTGTGGTGCTCATCAGCATTTTAATAAATCTCCGCAAGACTGTCTCATCTGAAAATCTCTTCGCCTATAATAAACTTCACATGGGTCATCACAACCATCTGGAACGGCCTTATGGTTTCTTTAACTGGATGTAGGTTTCTAACTATGTAGTTTTACAAATGGTATCATAACTTCTGAAACTGTGTCTGGACTTTGTCTCTTGTTGACATTAAATTTGTAGTGGGGCAAAGGTTTTTGATGTGGCCAAAAGAAATGAACAGAATTCTTGCATTTCACATACAGAAACAGAACAAGCAGTCCAGGAACAACTTGAAGGCTAGATACAGTTTTGCTCTACCCCTCGGAAAGAATGTTTAATCAGTTCAAGAAATTAGCATCCTGACCACCAACACCAGTGGAATAAAGACAGCATTCAAATGCAGCCTCCTATTTGGCTGGGTTTCTTCTTGTGCCACACAGCCAAAACAGGGGGAAGAGAAACCTCCCATTACTCAGGGCATAGATCAGTTGTTTGCTAATGCATCCCTCTTCCTGCAGCCTATGAAACAAAAGACACTTTAATGACGGACTGAAAATAAGTATATGGGGTGAAGACAGCCATGCTAACTGGAGTCCAGTCAGAGCACAGCCCACGTGCGAGGCTGGAGATTACCAGTCAGATTTCACAACAGGTCCTGCTTCCTTCCCCTGCTCTGTGAGGAAGGTCGAATTCCTTTTCAAGCTGTGAGAAAAGTTGTACGTGCAGGGTCACCTGTACTCTTAGCTCAAAGTAAAGCCTCTGTACTGGAGCAGAATAACTCCTCTCACAGCTTACAACTGACATTTTTATTATTTGTACATTACCTCATTATACTGTTAGAGGGATAACCTGCCTCCCATTGGGACCCTTGCTATGGTGCTCCTTTCACAGTTCACTTTCCCATATTTCTTCTTATCTCCCATTATGCCTTTCCCACATTTTCTTCGTTGCTTTGATCCCAGTTCCCATTCCCTCCTAGACTTTGCTCCCCGTTCCCTTGTGGAAGGCTATCAGAATTAATTAGTAAGCAGTGCTGCAGTTACCCTTGACAACTGTTGGGAGTGTTTTTAGTAGTAGTCTAAATGAGAGTAATGAAGATAATGGATAAGTCCCTGCTGCACAGGCATAGCAAGAGAGTTTATGCAAACCCAGACAAGACAGTAACACATTTTGATTCACAGCGAGTGTCTTCCTTGCAACCCTATCAGCTAAAACATGCTGCTGTTAATAATTTCAGCTCTGCAGAATCAAAATATATCCTGTGGGACAAACAAAAGCATTGGAAGAACTAGTGCCAGCTTGCACAACTAGTCATCTCTAGTCCTTGTTAAGCAGCAGAAAAACAGGATTGGATTTCAGGTCTGTGCACTAGTGCCAGTTCAGCTTCTGTTGGATGCAATTACATGCTTAGATTTTCCAACTCCACTTTTAAGAACACAAGATCAGATTTTCAGAGGTGCAAGATACTTAGGTGTCAGTGATGCCTGTGGGAGCTGAGAGACTTCAACATCTCATAAAACTAGAGCGAGCAGCAGATACGTGAAAGTAATTGGCTTGAATTAGGGAACAATTGTTTTAAGTCTGACTTCTTTGATTCTTCCATGTGCTTCCATATCTCTATATGTACAGCCCCGACATGACTTTAGCATACCCCATCACTCCCTCTGTGTTTGTCACCATTTCTTTCTTTGTCACCAGCTACTTTTCCTTCTCCTATGACAGTGACCACCCACCTCTGTTCTCATTGACAAGTCTCTAAGCCAGGGTCTGCATTTTCTTTTGGTTCTGGCCTTGAGGGCACAAAGTCCTCTGCTCATCTCACTGTAGGAGCTGCCAGTTCAGAAGTTGGAATAGCAATGGTCTTCTATTGCATAGAACTAAGAATAGATTTATAGACAATGAAAAACCACATTGAGTTTCAAAAACTTCTTCAAAGCCCTAATTTTACTATCGTCCTTTAGAATACATTCCTCCCTTCCCATCTACTTACTTACGATTCCTTACAGATGTAACAGCACTGATACAGCAGTAATTTCTCCTCATTCATCAGTAATGAAAACAAGTATCAGAACCCAGAAAGCCTCCTCCCAAACCACCAGGGAACTGGGTAATGCTGAGCCCTATGCCACAGAGCTGAGCTGAGCACTCAAACTGCACAGCGAGCTCCAGCTTGCGCCAACAGTGTTTAAAACCACCCTGTCTATAACTGTGGCTACTGTACTATGTTCAGGGTGTGTTTGCCAGGCCAACAGCAAAGAAATGAATCACACAAGATATGAAGCATACAATTTTACCTAAGGAGAAGGAGAAAGAAAATTGCATACTAACCTAAAGTGAACAATAAATCAAGATACTGATTGCAGTGTATGTGTGCATGCTCTGTTTCCAAAGGGGGTGCAATACACATTATTCATTAATATAAATGTATGCAACAGTTTAGCCAGATTGCGCTTGTTTCCCCAACACAGCTTCAGCCAAGACCGGAATTCCAGTTGGTCTGCTTAAGTCAGGGTAAGAGATTCTGCATCCCCTACTCACCGATGAAAGGACTTCAAGAACCAAAACACAGGGCCCTACAAGGAAATACCATAGAGTCTTACCTTGGATTTATTGAGCTCATCAGTCCACTTTATTACTAACAGAGTACAATGACTTTACAGATCTGCCACAGATCCATTAGACAATGCTTGTTCATCCAAGATATCATTAAAAGTTAGATTTTCATTATGGCATGTCATGCAAAACTATGTGCTTCAACCTCAGACAGTTATTTCTTCCAATTAACCCTAACTTCTGCCAAAGCAATCATGTGGCATTAACGGGATTTGAGAAAAAAAAACAAACAACAACGAAACACACAAACAAACAAAACCACACCACCAAATCAAACCAAAAGAAACAAAAACCCACCACCACCACCGAAATTATGATATTCCTTTGTAGGAAACAGCCAGAAGATGAACTAAGAGAAGCGTCTGATTATAGGATGCACTACAACAGATGCACTCACCCACTTTCAGTGTACCACCACACAAAAATACTCACAATAAATCCAAGTTTTTTATAGTCACGAGTATACATAGATTTGCGTTTCTCAATGCTGCCACTACTGTTGTTAGGTTCAGATTCTGCATCAAAGGCAATTCTTCGGAGTTCAAATATGATATCCCGTTGAGCCTATGTTAAAACAAGGTTAAAAAATTGGTTAAAATAATTTACCTCTCACTTCAATGGCCAATACAACAAAAGCTGTTTCAAAACACTGTGCTCCCTCCACTTTCCAACCTTTCTTTGTCTAAATTCCCTACTTCATACTCAGAGAGACAGTCAGCAAGAATGACTTTGTGGTTCCCATTTCCCAAAGTCCTCACATTTGTGGAGTTCACGTGCAGACGCTTAAGTGCTGACTTACAGAAGCTGGACCCATGTTAGCAAGGCTACTAACTACACACTTAATTTTAACCACAGGCACGAAACCACAGAAGCCAAGAGATCACACACATTTCAAATTAAGCTGGTACTTAAGCACTTTACTGGCTGAAATCAAAAAGGCTCACAGCAGTATGCAATCCTTTCGGTAACTGTCCATTTTTGCTAGCACAGGAATGGGCAAGAACGGAATTGCTGTAGTTACACATCACTAGAAACGTCTCAACCTAGTGATAACCATCCTACCATCAATACTAGCAATGCTGTGTTAGTCACTCTCTATGGCGATATGGACTAGGTACCTGTGTGTACATTAGAGTCAAACTTTCCTGCCTCAAACTTAAGAAACAGCAAGGGTAAAATCCTACAGCATGTTTCTTATGTTTACAACCAGCTTGCTCTCCCATCTCCTCTTCTCCAAATTATCAACAAGTCTTACCACATTCCCTCTTAAAAATGAAATTAGGTTTCTCCTTGTACAGGGCCTAAAAAAGGCCACAAAAAATAAAGAAACAGAATGCATCTTCTCTATGGCTCATTGACTCTAACTTTAAACTTGAATTTCTTAGGGGAGTAAGTGTCTCTCTTTTCACAATGAGCAATATTAAAGCTGGTGTTTGGAAGCAGCAAGCAAGAAACAAATGAACAACTACTAGATAGGTTCCCGGTAACAAAATGGGTTTTACTGTAACACAAATTACCTTCGACTCTAGCATGTCAGACAGTTTTCATGTAAACATTCATTTTAGCTCTACAGAAGTAGTTTTAGGAAGGACCACACATCTCTGTCGCTTCTGAGAAGTACACAAAAGAAACAAATACTGGACTGCTGCTTGGAGTTTTAGCTCAGGATGACAACAAATTCAGTTCATGGAACTACATGCTAAGGAGAAAGGCCTGGCCATTTTATTCTACTTTTCCACAAGGAATGCAATACCAGTACATCTTCTAACAACCAGAAAATATAACCCGGCTTCACAGAGAATGCATGAATGGTGTAAGTGTTCCCAGCACTCTCTTTTCCTCTATAAAGAACTTTAGGCACAGCAATGAGCAGTTGTCCTCTTCCTGTTCTGACCAGATCATGCCAGATGCTTACCTGATCCTGTGGATCCATTTTTGTCATCATTCTGTCTTCCAGAAGGTTAAAGGTAAGTACTTGCAGAACATAAAGCTGGTGTGCCATTTCATTATTGATGGCCCTTTGTGCCCTGATAACATGCTGCAAAGAAAGAGAAACTCCAGTGAATGCCACCTTATCAGAAAATTATATATGGTACACTCAGGTGTTTCCATTTCTGTATGTGTTTGCTGTGCAATAGTGTATGTACACTCCAGAAAAAAGAAAATCAAACTAGCACTAATGGTACTGATTTAGGTACTACATAAGTAACTTTAAGGGACAGGACTTTACAATAACAATGCACCGAAGCTTTCTCCTTCTAGCCACTAGAGAGCCTGTGCATATGTTGAGAAGTGTCATTAAAAAAAAAAAAAAAAATCAGTACTGAGAAGTCACTTTGAAGAAAAATTAACTCTTTACCAAGAGCATTAGAGCACTGTATTAAAAAAAAAAAAAAAAAAAAAAGAGAGTATATTAAGAAAATATTTAAAAGAGTAGCTGCCTGAGCAGAAAAGTATTCAGGCTACAAACACAACCAGCAAATACAGCGATGTAACAGGTTTGCTGCTGCAGGAGTCAACATTGCACCACAACCCTACCTCTACCAGACAATTCCGTTCTGTACGAGGAAGACTGCTTAGAAATACATCAGCATACAATGCCCCAAATGTGCAGAATTATCCTGTTCAGAAAGCAGATACCAAATTGATGGACAATTTAAAAATCCCTGGTGTGCCAAAAATCACCAAGTGGTTCTATATGGGAAACAGATCCAGGTCACTGAACGCAGCAGAGCATACATAAGGAAAAAGTCATCAAGTAGGACATGGATACAGCAACTGATATTGTACAGCTCCAGAGAATAAAAGAATCTGCTAAAAGGCACTGGAGCATTTTACAATAATAAATGAACACCTAAGAATATCACCTATGTGCTTATACCAAATTTCCTCTGAACAAAAGCAGTGTAAAATGCCTTCTGAAACAAATTCTGGGGGTTTTTGTATGTACCATTGAAATTATGACAGTGAATAAGAGAGCGAGGAGTTGTTTGGTTTGTTTTACACTGTCTAGTATCTCATAACAGAGAAAGAGTGCTTTCCCTTGTTTCCTTGAAGATGCAATGTACTCTAAAGTCAAAGGCAAAATCCCTCTGATTTTTCATGATAGCAGATACAAGTCTTTTATATTACATTCATTAACTTCATTCTGAGCTACATTTCATGATTCTTTTGTGCAAGCGGTGACAAATTGTGTGCAACTTTATATCAAGACAGAATAATCTGTAGAACTGAAAAACGCAGAGGTTCATTTTGCAAGATGGAAAGCCCTGTGTGGCATGCTCAGCTGTCATCAGCTCCAAACCTTAACACAGAGGACTTGCTATAAATTCCTCAGACAACCACTCATCTGCACAATAAAGCTCACATTCTCCTTGTGAAAATGCTTGAGGTATTATTCTTTTATTCAGTATTATATTTTCATGAAGAAACCATTATTTATTGGACTTAGAAAATACACCTTTTGATAATCAGTTTTGAACCCATTCAACAACCAAACCTTTATCTTGTATGTCACAAGGCTTCAAAACATATCAAAATACAAGCGCAATTAAAATATATTGAGATAAAACCTATGAATACCAAAACTGGAGTCACCTTTTCTCTCTGCTAGTGAAAAATAACTTTGAAAATTATATACTTACAGTTAAGATGATGGAGCGAAGCTGCTTTTGTGCCAAAATGTTTGCCATTTCCTGATTTAGTTTAAAAAAAAAATAAAAAAATTAGCCAAAGCAGGTATTTTAGTGCCATACCTAGAAGAACACTGACTTAAAAGGTCTTAGTGTTTCTGCGGTGTTACTTATAAATGAAATGAAGCCACGTACAGTTGTATGATTGTATGCATTATTGTGAGGGTCAGAAACTCATATTACTCTACTGTGAGAAAAGGGGCAAAGAAAGTGAAAAGTAGGTCAGAAGCTGAGGGCTTTGGCGATCCAAAACCAGCAATGAAAGACCTCAGAAGAGACCTCTGTGGGTTAAACAGAGTATTTATGCACACTTGTTCAAGCACAACCCTCACCTCCGCAAAGAACACAGAAGGAAGCACAGAATGAATGGAAGCCAGCCAGGACTTTAAAACAAGATGTCAAACAACATGCTTATTTATATTAATATTTTGACTGTTCTAAAGTCAAGTGCTCTAACTTTCACTCAATAAATCAGCCTACAGCTTATTACCGTTTCATCATAGCAAGTAATACTTCTCTCCTGTTATTTTGGTAGCAGTGTTGACATTGGGCCATTATTTTGTATTAACTTCTTTTTCTAGGTCTGTCTGAAGTCACAAGCAAGGTGAATATGCTTTTACTTTCATTTTTAAGCAGCTGATTCCAGCTGTCCATGCTACAAACTGTCCCACAATGCACAGGAGGAAATATTTTATACTTACCAAGCATGAAAGTCTAATCTTAACCATACCTACAAGTCTATACCTCATTTTTAAGTTCCATGATCTCTTCCATCAAAATAGAAATGTGTGTGTGTGTGGACATATGCTAGCATATGCAATGCATGCAACTTACAGTAATTATCATCATTTTTAAATTCTTGTTTTCAAAATGTACTATTTAAGGATTTGGATAGCATATTGCACACTGCTATTTAGACACTGTTTATATGTACACAAAGGGGTAATGTTTGGAATTTAGATCATTGATTGGAAACAGAGCTCACAGCCTTACATAATACAGCACAACAAATCACATCAATGCTGACACATGCTTAAGGACATTCTTAGGATGCATTGTGATTCTGCGCAGCTGGCACCATATCAAAAATATTGTTCGTGTTCAGAAGAAATAAAATTTCTTAAAAATTCCT